GAGCCACACACAGAACCAGAGTGCTGCACGATGTGCAAGCGATGCTCAAACCCTACTGGGACTTATACAATTAGCTCAGGAGGGTCTTCACATGCACAATGGTAGCATGGTAGTGTTAATCGGTGTGATATAAATAACTTTTGTTTTTATTTTGTTTATTTTTTGCCTTTAATAAGACCTATGTGGTATTCAAATTGAATAGGAGCAATACATATACGAGAGAATGTGACATGTGATCCATGTTGCTTGTTCTGCCTGATGCCTGGTGAAGAGGAAGATGAGAGTCTATAAAACTGAGTATACCAATCACATTAATGCTTTAAAATATTGTTTCATGCTCATTTCTTTATTAACAGTAAAATTATTCTAATTCTGTTCAATTGCAAGTGTCTGTTATCAATCTGCTTCTTCTCTTTCACACTATAATGTTAAAGGTGACTACTATTACCTTATCCATTGTTTTTGGTAGAAAAGGCTGTATTCTGACAATGAATTGTTTATTTTCATGCTACTGTAAACATTTAATTGTTTTAATGTTTAATTTTTCCAGAAAGTAGGAATAAAGTTGTTGTTATATTTTGAAGAGTAAACTGGATATGCTAAAATCAGACCAAACAGGAATCTAAGAAATCAGTTGTTGGCAGTACTCGAGTTGAGGGGGGATGAAGGGGGATAGCATCCCTTTCTAAAAGAATCTTAAAAATCCTCCCCCTTTTTAAATTAACTATCCCCCTCATACCACCCAGAGACATTGTATTACTGAATGTGTAGAATTTCTACTATATATTAACAGTAATGGCAGTAATATTGCCCTTTCAACATTTGGCGGGCTGTGGGCATCCGAGTAGCCTGAACAAAATAAATAAAATCAAACAAGTGTCCTACCATGATTATGAAGCTGAACGTAGTGGGAAATTAGTCCCATACTGTGTAGGGGCAGTGTGTAGGGCTACTGTGTAGCCATGCCAACCCAGGGACTGACTGCACTGTAAGGTGCCTTGGTCAAGCTCCATGGACCAGCGTACCCGACATGGAACAACCATACCATGCATATTGCTTTAGTTTAATGCACTGTATTAATTAGGCTAGGTATGCTTCCAAAAAAATAAAACAATTCCACAATCCCCCTCCTTTTTTTTTTTACAACTAGACTAGTGGATGTTGGACACAACCTTTGTGATCAGTGTAGGTCCTGCATTGATTTAATTCTTCTTTTGCACACATAGGAATTAAAGTCTTGGTCTGGAGATACATCTTTAAAATTACTATTGAGTAATAGCCCCGCCTCCAGCAACAGGGCTGCTTTAAATTCCTAAAAAGTTACCGGTAAGGGTGATACTTATTACTGACATGCAAAATGTCTTCTTCTAAAAAAGCATTATTGATTCCCTCCTGCCAAAAATCTGTAGGAGAGGTACTCCAAAGCCCACTGGTCTGAATCATCATTTGATGGATGAGCCTGATGCTTTGACTGCAAGGAGTTTTAGCCTGGAGCTAAGGTGACACAACTGTAAGACAGGTTATCTGCAGCTTGAGTAGATATGCTCATTTAGCTGAAAGTATCATTAATCAAACCACAAAGGATCTACATAAAGCATGCAGGTGAAAATACTGTGCAGCACTGAAGAATCAGCAAATAAGCCCCCCAACACACCACCCCCTTTTTCTACAGCCACAAAAAGGGAGAGAAAAAAAATAAAAATAAGAGAGAGACTTTTTATTGGAGGGCCAGAAACGGTCGGTGATCAAACTCCAACAACCAAAATAGCCACAGTGATTTAGTGGAGCGAAAATCCATTATGGCTCCATCCAAAGGTAATGACTTTTTCAAGCCTCGCAGCTGATTCTCCAGAACAAGAGTGGAAGGAGAAAACACACACAGTGGACAAATCAGGCCTTTGTTCAGAACAGTGTGGGGTCCTGAAAGAGACTTTAGGTCGTTCATTCTCTCAGTCTTTCCTAATGGCAGCAGAGGCAGTTGCTGCAGCATCTCTATCAAAGCCAAAGCCACTGTCTAGCTTCAAAATGGCAACTGGGTGGCATGTTTTGAACCACAGATCTATTAGTATCGAACTGCATCTTGTTAATCTAAAGCATTCCACTACAGTGGTGATTACTATGGATGCAATACTCAACAGATATTGGATTTGGTGTCTTTTTACACACAAAAATTACAATCAATCATGTACAATTATGAGAAAAGAGGGTTTAACTCTTCCTGTTTCGATGACTCACCGTCAAGGTGCCTTTTCTTCCTGAATCATCATAGACATTTAAAGCTGTGCATGACTCTATAGATAGAAAGGCTCTAATGATGTTTAACAAAATCTAAAACTAAGATTGCTATATTTGCTCTGTTTTGAAGCTGTTGAGCTGCAGCATATCGGTGTGTCATTTTTATAACTGCTTATAATGTATGTGAGAGGAAGCAGAGCCATCCTAAGAGAACCTGTACATGCATACTCTGCAAAGTATCACCAAGATGGGATTCAAACCAAGGACCTTAATGCTACAAGGCACCAAATCCACTAAATGCACCACTGCACATTCTAACTTGTGAAGCAGAGGTTAAAAAAAGGATATTAAGAAGACATACTCTAAGGTTTTAAGAAGAATTTTTGAGCTAGAATCCATATTTTTAGACAGGTGAGACTGCATCTGATGCATTCCTTTGGTAAGTGTTAACACCTATCAGCAATGATCATTGTTCTGAACATTATCACATGCAGGCTCCGGGTGCTGTCACTGATGTCAGGCAGTGCACAACCTTTGATTTAGATAGGAAGTATAGCTCAGTAAACATATAACCAAAGCTGAGCTGTAACATAGCTTCCTGACAAAGTTTTACAGCAAGATTTCTATTGATTCTCTTAAGCTGCGTAGCCTAGCAGCTAAACTAAATCTTACCCACACATAGGGCCTCACAGCTGTGGGTGGATGTAAATAAACTCCTGTGCTGTGCAAAATCCAGTTACATGAACTGAATAAAGGTACTTGAATAAAAGAGAAATGACAAAGTTAGGGTGCAGACGGCACATCATTAGCAAGCAGATCTCATTTACGGAAACACAAAAAGTCTCTGCGACTTCAATCGGCTTCTCGAGAGCTGTTTATGGTGTCTTGCTTGTGACAGCATTCTGTTATTTTCTTTTTCTCTCTGATTTAGGGTTCAGTGTGGTGCCTTTGCAAAGGCATTCATACACCTTGAACTTTTTGCATTTCAAACTTCAGTATATTTTACAGTGTTTATGTCATAGATCATCACAAAGTACTGTGGTGTAGGTTAGTGTTATAAAATCTAACTCTGCTTTGAAATTTTGCAGACCTTTCTCATTGACCGGTTTTCTGTGTGGATGGGTTTGCTAAATGAAAAGTTCTATATATACACTTTTAAATCAAACACAACCTAGGATCTATTGTACATACAAAACTGGCAAAATCTAGATTTGTATTTTTTACATCACATTAAATGTAGATAAATACATCAAACTGTGCTTTTTTTTTTAGATTTGAATTATTCCTCTGCTATGTGCTTGCTAAAGGAGCTGATATAATAAACAGTGTGTGAAGCCTCATTAAAACATGTCCTTGATTAGAGCCATCTTTAGGCCACTGTGTTAATGCCACCCTTGAAATTATTATGGTAGAGTTCTTTACAGAGGCAAATAACCATCTCTAATCCTCTAAAACTGCTAATTTACAGGTGACATTCGCTCTTCCAGGTCTCTGTTTTCTACCCTAAGCATTTACAAACAAACAGAAAGTGTTTCAGGCTCAGAGTGACAAGTTAATGTTCATCAATATTTTCATATGAAGAGGCTAGATGGCAGAAATTACAATGCACAGTTGAGCAAGAGGATTGGTTACATTAAAGTAAATTTACACAAACTTACAAACAAAGCTGCTGACGCTATATTAAATCAAATGCAAACAGTAGGTATTACTCATCTTATCAGGCTGATGAAAACTGAACCCAAAGGATCTAAACTCCCATCTCCCGACTCCCCTGATTCACGTTTATATCAGACAGTTTTTTGTTTTTTATCTGTCATTACATCAAGAGCTGAATGATGAGAAAAACCTGCTGCTGGGCTTCAGGAAATACTTTACATAAAGTGATAGAAATAGATAAAAACATACATTTCAACTCAGCGCAACCAAATCATAGCAATAGCAACACCTGTTAACTAAGTAAGGAAGATTAAAAGTTAGCTATTTTGGCATCAGTTGTTTATCAAATAGATAAAAAGCATAGATTTAACAATCTACATAAAAAGAGTGTATACTTTTTACAGTGAATGGAAATTTTGTCTATGGCTCATTTAAGCTGCAAGAGAGGAATACTTTCTGCAGATAACAGGAAGGCTTAACGAAAAACAACACAGTTTCTTCTTCTTGCAAGATTTCAACCATCTCTTTTAACTTTTGACAAACGTTTTGAAAATCCAAACTGTTGTTTTAGAAATGCTAAGCCCCTAATTGCTAATATCAGACAATGAAAATTCCCTTTGTGCATCTGCTCCTTATGGCAGCAAGGCTAGAAAACGTTCTTTGCATATTTCAATCAGAAATGGGAGGTCTGTATCAGCTTTAACAAGGGCAGTAAAAAGCAAAAAAAAAAAACTGATCAGTGCATCTCTACTCAGAAGAAATGTTAATATTGAAGACATCTGATATCAAATGGAATAATTGTTCAAATATAACTCATATCGTGTTCTAAAACAGAGAAACCAAATTCTCTGTCTTCTGTAAAAGTGGAAAAACAGCATTTTCTTCCAAATGACACAATCGGGCAAATATAGCAAAAATAATACAATGGATTATTTAACCTGTACTAAAATGTACAAGTGCTACAGTTTCCATTAAAGATTTTCAGCTCAACAAGGCCTGGGAAGATTTTCAAGAGGTATTGATTCCACACTGATATGCATCAGCCAGATAGGGAAGCAACAGAGGGTTTTTTCTGCTATTCTACTTGTGCAACTATTGCATGAACTTACCTTTCATACCGAATTTGGAGCGTCTGCCATACTTGTTGATGAGAACAAAAAGGACGAGGAGGAGGACGCAAGCGAAGCCTGCTAAACCCACAGCGATGGTAACCTAGGAAGCAAAGGAGCTGTCAGACTAGAGCAATCGGAAAAAACTGGTATTAGGATTAATAATTGCAATTTAAAGTCACAGTCAACTATAAATTGACCAGAAATAACTCCAAGTAAACAGCTTTTATATTTATAAATAAAACTGATGGGTTGATCTCTGCTTGGACTACTTATGTTGCACCGTATTTGAACTACTAGCGATTTCTGCATTTTTTATTCAAAATGATTTGTAAGTTTCTTTCAGCTTTTTTAATAGTTTATACTTCACTACATGAAATGAATATCAAGTTTCCCTTGATCAATGTCAGATCTGTAATCTTAAAAGCACATTAAAATAAGAAAAAAAACATGTGTGTTCACTTTAGAACAGATAAATACAGTAACCATATAAAAAATAAGGCCAACAGGTGTAAAAATTGATTTTCTTTCCTTTTATCTGCTCTTATTCCAGCCTAATAGCTCATATGATTGAACCAAGCTGTTGTTCGAATGTGTTTGTCTTTTTTTTTTTTTTTGTTAATGCTGTACAGGCTCTTGTTTTTTACTTTTTTTTTCACAACTAAGACTTTCAAGTTCATTTTATTATCAGACAACCACAAACTGATTAAATAAAATGCTATCTTTAAAACAATGTTTTCCTTTATTAAGAAAAAAAAGGAACCCCGACAAAACTGCAGCTATGTGAAAGAGTAAAACCCCACATAATGACTGAATTCAAATGATGAATAACACATTTATTCAAAGGCAAACCCAACAAAGAGCGGTCCAAAATTCTCTCACAGCGATGTACAATGCCTTTTGCCAGTAATCTAAAATGCATAATTGCTGTTGTTGCTGCCAAGGGTGCAACAAATTAGAGTTTCTTATTTTCCCTTAAGAAGTTAAATCAGGATTTGGAAACTGCTTCTGCATTTATTCAGGTTTTTTGTCAGATGTTAGAGTTAGACAGACTATCTAAACATGTAGGTGAGACAAAGGAGTAAATAGAAGAATGGTGGAATTCTCATGGTTTGCTAAAAGCCCAAGGCCTTATAAAATAGAACTGTTATCCTTTTTTTTAGACTGATGACAGTCATTGAATTTGCTTTTGCTATCTCTCCTTAGATTTCAGTAGATAAAGGTATTATATGGGGCTTTTTTTATCTTTTTTTTTTTTTTTTATGATTTATAGATTCTACCAGTCTGGGAACGATCAGGTCCAGGTATAGCCATCAGCTGTTTAAAGCTCAAACAGGATATTTTTTTCACTTTTACTTTGGTCTGAATTGGGTAATTGGGAATTTCTATCTTTTTCAATGACAGAATATTCCAAAAGAACCAGAACTTAACAATATAAATCACATTAGAACATTCAGTTGGTTTCTTGGTCATACAGCAATAAATAAACTAAGTGTGGGCTATGTATTCTAGTCAAAAACAAAGCAATTGTATTCATATCATAAGTATATTTTTAGTTACCGGTACTATTTCGAGTACAGTATAAGTATTCTAGATATAATACCAAGCAAATATAGCGGTGACTTCAAAGCTATATTTTTTGTTGTTTTCATATTTAAACAAATTCACAGTGTCAGAGGCAAATATGAGCCAGAGTTTTTTAAAAACAGACTAACACCTCAGGTGTGGAAATGCAGATGCATGGTGATGTTTAATGCTAACAAGCTGCTGCTCTGTATCTACATGTTCTCTTAATTATTTTTTTTTTTTTCATTCTAAATCATTTTATGGATTCTATTTATTGTAATTTAAGTTTTCTAACATTTTTGGACACACATGTAGTACTAACATTTCAAATTATAGAAGTCACAGATAATGAAAAAAGTCAATATGCAGTAACTCTCAGGAGAGCTCGTTTTGACCATGACTTTTTAGGAATTTACTTTATAAAGACAATAAATCTGATCGCTATACTTTTATTCTAAATTTTCTAATGTTAGAATGAGAATTATCAAAATGCATATTTTTGGCCATGACATAATGTCATCAATTATTACCATACATGCTGTAGATAAACTTTTCTGTATTAAATGTAAGAAAATTGAAAAGAATGACACCTGTTTTTGAGCCCCATTAATTATTTTACTCTTTAATTTTAATAAAAGGCTTCAGAAATTATCTGCCTCAGCAGGTTTTGCAGCAGTGACATGCTATATTCAGTATAGTGAATGGTGCCACAGCATTTTTTCTCTGCGGGGACGTGGTCATAGCAGGAGACACACGTTCTCAATTAATAACCAGATAGCGGCTTACTTCCATCAGGTATCAGAGGACGGTATGCCAATGACCGGTATGCAGCCTACCCAGGAAAGTAGAGCTGTCACACAAGAGTGACAGCAGCCATTATGAATGTTATTAATTACACCTGTGCAGTTCCTACTCTCATATGTCAAAATGTCTGCCATTTATAAGTCTATTAAGAGCCCATTAAAGGTTAGCTCTATCTACTGGGGCATACTGGAATAGTTCACCAGCAGCAGTTTTCAGGAAGAGAAAAATATGAGAAAATATAAGAAATAATGGCCTGTTTAATAATGCATAACACAGTCCATGGCATACCGAGACACTTTTTAAAGTCTTGATTACCAAACGGCGTTTTGTCCATGGAGTGATATTAAAAACGCACAAAATACACACACATACTTACTTAATGCTTTTATCAACATCTGCAACATTCAGCAGAACTTTAACATTGGTAGCCTCCAAAATATTTGTATTTATTTTTTTACCTTTTTTAAAAATGTTTGTTTCATTTGAACAACCCACTTTATCGAGTTGCTAAATACATGTGGATACAGTGCCACCTTTGCTCAAAGATCAGTATATAGTAGGGGTCAGTTTTTCCATCATGTATAGATGTTGAATTATCTGTTTCCATTCACCTATTTTGGGAGGGTTCAGATCTTTTTCAATTTAGTGTGATTAGTTCTTTGCAACCAATAATAAAATAATATATTGCTGAATTACGTTGAAATCCTGATTTTAAATGACCCAGAATAAGTAAAAGAAGGGATTCTATGAAGTTTCCATTTCCAGAATTTTCATAAGTTCCACCTTAATACGTCTTTTATTTTTGGATAACTGAAAAATCCCAGATTTGTGATGTCCAATTTCTCAACATTTTCTCCAACAACATGCTGTCGAAGGGTTCTTTTCAAAACCAGAATCAACACAGGGCAATAAAATATCAAACGTTCAATTTTCATTTAAACTATTTCCATTACTTTTGAGACCTCTTTTGAAATCGTTCCATATCTTATCCATATTTTGACTGCTATCAGGACATCTAATTATAATTCCAACTTTTATTTTATGTATCAGGTTTTCTCGGTAGTATCAGGTGAGAGCATCTTATACAAATTCCAAACATGTCTTTCAGTTTGTATTTTCTTTTTTATATAGGAACAAAACATTGTTATTCTCTCATTGTCTTTGTCATTTTTATTTTTAGTGTTACATTTTAAAACATTTAAAAACTTTTTTAAGTTTAAACAGTTTTTTTTTTTTGCTGTAGGGTTCTTCAAATGTCATAAACAAACTGAAGCTAATATACCTATTTTAAACCATGGCTATAGTACTAGACAACAAAAAAAAAAAAAACTGTTGGGGTAATATGCAAAAAATAATAAAATCAACCAGCTCTCTGGTAATGTCTTGATCCTCTGTCTTTAACATTTCCTTTAATAAAAAAAAAGAAAAAAAAACTCACCCCGAATGTATCTTCTTCTGGTTGGCCTGTATCACCCTCAGGATTCTCATCTGCAAAACATGAGCAGGAGAAAAGTCACCTGAGACTTAAAGAGGGAATAAACTGCTTAACGGCGTTGGTTTACTCCTTCGTTGTAAATGTGTATAATGGCCCTACTCTCTTTTATTCATGCGTTTTATACGCAGCCAAGCTCAATTTTGTCATAAAACACAATCAATACAGCAGACTAATGCATTTTCCCAATGTAAACTTGTGTAACTCCCCTAAATGACCATGGTTCTGCATCTGTTATCACATTAAACAAAAATAATATTTACATGGATTAATGGACAGCCTAAAAGGCCAGAAAACCACAGACTTGACTTTGTCTAGAGTCTTTCATTTTAAGTACTGATATTGGCATATCAGAAAGACAAAAAAACACTTTTTTTTGTTGCACCTTATACATGTGTATAAATATCCACTTACTTTTCAAAGACAGTTTGTCACATTAATTAATTACACACTGATTTAAATTAAATTAGATTTAATTTTTAACTCGACAATTCTAATGCACAATTTAGCTTTCAATCAATTTATCGATTGTAGCTGCAGCTGAATGTTTGGGATGGGGTAAAACTTTAAATGTTTTACGGAGTGTAGAAGGCATCGCTTCCAGTACAACTCTGCTTTAGCTGTACTATCCCTCCCATTAGCTTTGACCATCCTACCTGCTGCGCTGCTAAGGAAAAGTTCCTATTGCCACAGCCATGTTTCATCATGGGGAGGGTGTATTTGGCGTGTTAGTGATTCACCTCTCATAAGTCCTGATCTACTAAGACCCAAATAAGAAGCTAAAAAATGGTAGTTTAAACAAAAATTGCATATGCAATTTCAGGGTATGTTAGGGGTGATAAAAAATTTTGTTAACAGGAGCAAAGTGTGGCTTACTGTCCTCTGACCTCTTCTTTTTTTGTGCACTACTAACTGTTTTCAAAGCTTAGTACATCAGACTTTTTTTTTTGCACATCAGAAATGGCAATTTTCAACAGCACTGCACACAGATGACACATATGGTGGCTATGATGAGACGATATAGTCAAAGGAGGAGAGTAAGCGTCTTCTCTGTTCATGTAGAATTCAAAAAACATAATGGGAACCCATTACCTATAAGATGATTTAACCGCCTCTGGCATCTGCATCATTCTAAATGTTGCAACATTGCAATGTAAATTTTTAATTTCTTATTTTTGATAACCAATATCACTCAGAAACATTTATCACATTGTCTTCTGAGACACAACAAGATGTGTCTAACAAATAGAGGAAATAACAATTGAGCACAGCATCTTTATATTCATCAATTTTGTTCAAAACAATTACTTGTAGCAGCTTTTTTTACTTAACCTGATGATTAAATTGTGATTAAAAAAAACCCCTACAAAATGACACCAGAAAAAATTTATCTTATGGCAACACCACTCTACTCAGCCAAAAGAGAGTGTAGTGTTGCAAGAAGCTTTTTTAAAAAATATCATTGCTGAATATACTATATGTATCTACTATTTGAAATTTGTACTATCCAAATTTGTCGGTATGCGAATAACATTTTCCATTTTGTGTCTGTCATTGTATCACTGCTTCGTTTTCATCGCAAAGAGGCCAGACATTTTTAGCATCTGAGTTTGCCTCTGATTTTAAAACATGCTAAATATAGACATGGAAGTTGCAATTCAGCTTCAGGTTTGATAAATATCATTTTGCAAGATAAGTGATTAATTTACACATACTCCACCCAGTATTTTCCATGTCCTGGGGATTAGCATATGCTCTGCATAATCATGCTAAGTGTTTGAGCCTACTCCCCTGCTTATTTTAGAAATGCAAACACTGTGTGCAACCATTTTCAACGCTATTTCTGACATTTTGAACTGAAAAAGCTTCCTGGATGCGAAGCGAAACGTCTTCAAACTTGGAAACAAAGTCCAGTGGATTATTTTTTAACTTTTTTGGAATCAGTTTAATTCAGTTTATTTATATAGCGCCAATTCAAAACACATATCATCTCAAGGCACTTTACAGTTCACCGGATCATATAGTCAGATTAGTTCCAAGTTTTCTTTCAATGGAAAACCAGTTGATTGCATCGACTTACTGACTAGAGGGCAATCCCTCACATTAAGCATGCAGGTAGCGACAGGGGAAAGGAAAAACTCCCTTTTAACAGGAAGAAACCTCCAGCAGAACCAGGCTCAGTGTGAGCGGCCATCTGCCGAGGCCGACTGGGGTTCAAGGAGACAGAAGCAGACAGAAAAATAAGCAGAGATACAAAAGGCAAATGTAACAGGAAACACACATCCAGGCAGATGAGCTCCAAGCCAGCTCAAACGTCAGGGGATGAAGAGAGCAAAACAAGCCAGCCACAGACAGAGAAACAGGACTACACTGAAAAACAGGCCGATCTCCAACAACTATAAACAAAGGTGCTGATGGCAGCAGCACAGCTGATATTTCTCTCCAGGATGGAGTGACAGCCAAATAGGAACAGACGAGTTTGCTATTGACATGCTATTGAGTTTGTATGCTTTTTATACTGTATACATAACCCTTTAGTAGATCAGAAAGATAATTCCTGCATGACTGAGAGTCTTTACCAGTATCAGAGAGAGTATTTTGATTGCAGGGTAAAACACTTATGTTTGGTCTAATTGAACCAGAATACCCTATCCTACCCCTTCCATGTCCCTTACCTTATGGCTTCCTTTTATCAGTGTGTCTTCTTTTGATTATTTTTACAAAGACCACGAGAGTGCATCCCAAGTCACTGTTCTGTCAGCAGATTCTGTCACCAGAGCTGTGGATTGATGCACTGTCTCTCTATTGCCAATAATGTCTATTGTATGTTGCCCAGACCATCAATGTAGATAGAGGGCTGTTTTTCTGTAGCTTTTGCCATATCAGATTATATCACATCATATCATATATAACTTTTATGCTTTTGGGATTAAGTTCTGCCTAGTGACTGTAAAATATTCAAAGCTGGCAATGTTTTTTTTATTACCTAACCATGTCTTAAGCATCTCCACTTGCTTCCACTTTACTATTATACATTACCTGGATTATCACATTTGACCTCAGTGAAGTACTATACCCCAAAATCTGTGGTTGTAATGTGAACCAGGGACACTGAGACATAACAAATATTTCAAAGGATTAAAGAGAACTGTCCAAAAAACCACTGAAATTGCGAAAAAAGTCACAAGAAAAAACAAAAGGGTTTTAGGTGAAGTTTAATTTAATGTACTGCACTTAAAATAGGTAGTTCTTTTTTTCCTAAAGTACAATAAAATTAAACTGAATAATAAATTGAGCTGATATGAAGACGGATCCTGATTTGTACCTGTGGCCAGGACCTCAAACAGTAACAGCGGTCAAATTATTGGCTTGCTGCCAAAGGCTGAGAAACAAATACACACACACACAGCACGAAAATGTTATGTGTGTGTCTCACTACTAACCCAGAGTCCCTCCCTCTCAGCCATTATCCCCGTCTTCTCGTCCCTCTGCCCTCCTCCCTGCTCAGCAGTGTTAGCATCACTCAGGCTGTCAGTAGATTACCCTCTGTCACTGAACTTTCTCACATCCAGCAGTGCTGGTTTGTGCATGTGTGCCAACGTGAAGCCTCAGCGCGCATTGTGCGATAGCCTTCAAATCCATTTGTCCAAATCACTAGTCATACAGCAGTGTCATAATCTGCAACTGTTTAACAATGGCTTTATATGGATGTGGGAGGAATCTCTAATGAAGGTCAGAGATTGCACAGGCCCACTTTGTTTTAGCTGTCAACAAGAAAGCCATTGAAACAACCTGAAATATATCTTCAGACCAGAAACAGGAGATTTCATGCAGAACCTCTTCCTTGGGTAAGTTGAGCGTGACCCCAGTGGAATTTTTTCATTGATACATTTCTTTAGATTATTTGCATGCATTATATATTTCAGTATAAAAACGACTGTTTAAAAATAAATAATTATGTATTTGCGTCTGTCTATCAATCATTATATGGCTAACTATTGTAAAAAAAAAAAAAAAAAAGCTCTGGTGAGTTGAGCAGGAGCGCTGACCACATTGTTTTTCCCCTTGAAAAGCTTGCAAAACTCTCTCTGTCAATGTGAAACAACTTTCAGTGGAGGCAGTATTATGCTGTGGGGTTGGTGTCACTTGTCACATCGCAAAAAAACAAAACAACAATTGTTATCAGTACAGAGTCAGATATGCTGAGAGGATTTTGTAATCAGGGGCTATTCTGGCTCTTTGGTAACTACAGTAGCTCTATCCTCAATGATATCTAGCTTTATCTGACAGTTTATCAGACTACCACCAGAATTTGGTAGTGGAGAAGAAATTCAATCCCACTGAACACTTGGGGACTATAGCTCAGAAGTTCTATTTATGAAGGAGGTAGTAAACACAAGCAAAATTGCTGCCTTGGAACAATTGCTGGGTGGCTTTTTGATAGGGCTGAAGAGCAGCATCAGGAGGAAGTGAAAGCCTATTTTGGCTTCCTGCATTTTTAATGGACCACCAGATCCCCTGTTTCCTATGTAAATAAACAGTTAAATTGTTTTTCTTTTTTTAAGCTTCAATGATGAGAACCAATACATGACAGCAAACACCAGTCAACAGCAGAATAATCAGTAGGGAATTAGCACAGAGGATTTAGCATTTTTTTAATCATTTGATCCAATCAAATAGTGAACACTGCTGCACACAACTATGTATGAGTTTTAATTCCAAATACTGCACTAATTAAGTGATTATAATAATTATGTTGTATACAATGATAATATTATTTATTATATTATACCCTGACCTAAATATTCAACTTTAAACCAATCTGACTATATGATATGGTTGAATTGTCTCTGCAAAGTGCCTTGAGATGTGAATTGGAACTAGATAAAAAAACTGAATCGAATTGAACTTACAGGCTCTCGTTAAAGAGGAGAAATAAAAAAAAAGTGCAAACAATCTAGTACAGAAAACTTATTAACAATTCAGAAATGAAATTGAGAAGTAAAGTGAAAAGAAAAATAGATTGCTAGTGGCTACATCATGAACTGGAGCACAAAGTTAACAATTTATAATTTTTTACAATCTGGAGAGTACAAGTACCTCTGTGTGTATATGTGTGCAAATCCACATATAACAAGTGCCAAAGAATGATAAGACAGTAAAAGTAAAATCCCAACAGGGCTGCTTTGGAAGAGAAAAACTCAAATATTTCCACTGTGTCTGCAAAAGAAGAGACAGAGAGTGTCACACTTTTTCATGAACTAACAGGATTTAACCCTAGAATGCTGATCATGGAGAGAAATTTGTCAGAATTGGGGTTTTTCTTCTCCCTGTCCCGTGAAATTCATGTGATCAAAAAATGAACAGCCTTCTGTACCTGACTGCACTTAAAAGAATCCGTGCAGCAAGGGTTAGTTGCTAAACCTGCATTCTCTGTTGGCAAGTTTTAGAAGCCCCCAACCCAAACGATAGAGTTTAGGAGTCAGTCTTTAACAGTTGGAGAATGCTAGCTGTAGTTTTATGTATAAAGTAAGTTTTAATGTGTTTCTTTTCCTTTATTTGGTTTTTATTTTCGGTTGTTTGGTTTTAGAGCTTGGTAAATCAACACAAAATAAAGTAAAAAAGTTATCCACTCACCCATATCCTCGGGGGGCGTGAGGAAGTGACCATATACTGTCTTGGTGACTGTTCCCAAAGGGTTGCTGGCCTCCAAAGTGTAGTTGCCATTATTTATGTGGGTTGGGTTTTGAAAAGTCAGACATCCCTCCAAGTAGTCCTGGTAGAAGTCCATGTCCGTTTTGATATATTCATTCTGCTGGATCTCCTTTTGTTTATAGAACCAACGCAGTTTGGGGTGTGGGTACCCACGAACTGTGAACTCGATGCAGGTGTCAAGGCGTTGTTCAGGCTCAGCCAACCTCAAAATTATTGGTGGAACTGTAGAAAGGAAGAAGACATCAAAAAACACATGAGACATTTTGATGCTAAATCTCTGTTATTGTGCAAAAACGCAAAAGTGGTAGATCCTCTAAAAGTTATCTTTGCAAGATTCCTATTAGTCACTAAAATCCATATGCCTTTTAGAAAATATAAGTTTAATGTGCAAAGGCCTTTATTGGTCAAGAATGTTACCCACCCCTTTGGCTAGGGAAAACCTTTTCTAAAATCTCAAGATATGCAGAAGCAGAATTAACACAAAATACTTCACGAAAGGATGACATTTAAAAGGCAGGTTTCTTGCTTGAAGTACTGTTGGGCCTTTTACCAAACACTACATGTTCCAGCAGCAGTTCACGGGACAATGATGAAGGAAAATGAATACTAGGACTAAGGAAATAGATTGTGGAAATTCTTTGGCTTAAAAAAGCCCATAGATTCAGTTTTTTGATATGCTGCCACAACGCCACAAAGCCGAGAGGCAATTTATCTCTTTAATGCTATCAGCTCCACTTGGTGAACAATTCATCCACCCATTTCTCTTTGCAGTGATTCATTTTTGCTGCTATATTAACAAAAGGAAATATTTGGCAGTTGGTATTACCTTGCACGTTTATCCTATGTTTTATCCCCTTCATCACATCTACTCTATCATAATACAGCAGTGATTATGTCCTGCTTTTGCCTTGTGTAAGCAATAGGCTACCCAAAAATACCTCAAAAACAGTTAGAAAATAATGGCTCAAAGGATAACTTATCTATTGATTATCTGATGAAAGAAAAAAAAAAACAGGAAAAGAAAATGGTTGTTGATATCTGGGACTATCTGATGTCATCCCTCAAAGATCCAACATTTTCAATAACTGTATTGGAGTCTAATTGACCAAATCAGTTCTTTCAGTATGGTCTGGTATGCTGAATAAAATCACCTCATAGAAAACACATATACGCCTAGTATCAGCCTTTTTCTTATAGAGAGATTCATTTGAATTTTTCAAGGTAAGACAGTCAAGAGCAAGATGTGTCTAGTGCCTGTTATGTGGCATTTGAAATGTGGTGAGAAACGCAATATTTCAAATGGTATAATTCTTGGAAAAAATTTCATTTCAAATCCCACAGCTGACTGTTAGCCCAGAGTAATATTGTAACACAGCAGACTTCTAAGCAGTGGTGGCTGGCCAATAGAGTCCGCGAGGGCGCCGTCCCACCAACCCAATGACCCTTATTAAAAAATATATATATATATATTTTTATCATTAAATTTTAAATTAGCATTTAAAATATTACGAAATATATTAATATGTATTTCTTACATATGCAAGATACATATTTAATCTTTAATGACTAGTAAAGCGTCATTTAATTTTTTGTCGGATTGGTGATGAACTTTCACCGTCGGGCACAAAAATCTTTGCCCATTGACTCTCATTAAAAGTTGTCCATGCACAGAAGCTCCACTGCAACACAAAAAGGAAAAGGAGAGCTGATGCGAAGCGTATTTGCTCACCACCTCCCACCACAGTGCAGACGTTTTGTGGGTGATTGACAGGTCGAGTCACAGGGGTTGGAGATGCATTGGAGAGAGAGATATATAGAGAGAGAGATAGACATGGCGCAAGAACCGTCCTTTTCCAGGACCGGGTTTAGCAAGAAGGCTTGGCTAGCAGCATATAGTGAGGCTAATACTTTATTCTTCTTTCCCTGCCTCCTTTTTAAATCATCAGGATCTGAGCCAACACGGAATAAGAAAATTATAGTGTACTTTTTCTAGATGTGTGTTAATTTGCATAGTTTCTCTTAAATAAATACATTCTTAGAAAATAACTAGTTTTTATAAAGAAAAAAAAAAAAAAGCTGACTAATAGTGTCTCCATCATTAAACTGGTACATTTTTCTAGGTTTGTAACACAATACTGGACCATGTAAAACACAGATTTATCTTCACAAAGCTTCAGAAGGGCAAGATTTATGTACAAAAACTAAACCTGTACATGGAATTATGTTTTGTTTTTATAAAATGTTTTTATAATGTTTTTTGTTGTTGGCATTCATATAAATATACTGGTGTGATAACTTAGTATATGTTTGACTGGTTTTTGGTATATGTCTATTTTGAATAAAAAAAAAAAAATAAAAAAAATAAAAACTCCACCAGCCGCCACTGCTTCTAAGGAATAAATAGTGCTGACTCTTTAGTAATTATCTCTATGTCACTTCCTCATTTAGCAGATCTGAGTAGTACCAGTTGATTTAAAATCTAAAGCACTTCTTTCTTTCCAGTTATTACACAAAGATAGTGTAAGGGCTTGAAGCCCTTTTAAGAAGACTCAAAATTATATTATATTCACAGTTTTTCATATCTGCTCTCCTCATCGCTTGCATTTTTGTGTAAGATAAGATGAATTGGATAAACAATACACAGCTCAAAGGGACAAAAATAGCATCTTTTACTACTTGGACATCCCTAAGAATTATGCATAAGTGAATACAGGTTTGATCCAGAAACTAAATACACCACTTAAACGCCTCCCAAACAAAAAGTGACTCCAACTTGTAGCTCATAAAGACTGAGCTTCACCCTGGGATGCAGAGTGAGGCAGTGGGTAGCACTGCTGCCTTGCAGCAAGAAGATTCCCGGCCCAGGGTCTTTCTGCATGGAGTTTGCATGTTCTCCCTATGCATGCTCTCTCTGGGTATTCCTCCCACAGTTCAAAAACATGAGTATTAATTTACTTTTCCAAATCCTCCTTAGGTGTGAGTGTGTGTGAATGGTTGTTTGTTCTGTTTGTCTCTGTGTTGCCCTGCGATGGACTGGCGACCTGTCCAGGGTAGACCCGCCTCTTGCCTGTAGACAGCTGGAGATAGACACCAGCATCCCTTGTGACCCCAGCAGGGATAAGCATGATGTAAAATGGATGGATGGATAGAGCTTCAACCTTTAGAGAAAACTCAGTCTTCTTTGTCAAATGATTCATTGTCAGCACCTTAAAGTCTGTATCTATTGATTCTAATAGAGCAATACTTACACTGACCCCTACTTTGCTTTCAGCCATAAACTCAGCTCTGTGACTAACCCCCTTAGGAAATTAGCAAGATAACAGATATGGGACTATGGGCAAAAAAGGAGAGCCATGTAGCAATTGTATCTTGGCTGGGGATAATTATTATTAACTAAGTATAAAAATCATTTACAAGATAAAAAGAAAATAAAAAAAACAATCCACTGGACTTTGTTTCCAAGTTTTAAGATGCTGAGCTTCCCATCTAGGCAGATCTTTCAATTCAAAATGTCAGAAATAGCATTGAGTTTGAGGTTTTACACAGTAACCCATCAAAGCCTTGTTTTTGTTTTGAAAACATGCAAATTGAAACGGATGAACGGTTCCACCCCTTTGCAATGGGTTGTTTTTGGTTCTTTTTGTTAGCCTGTAATGCCCCATACATGTCTATGTCTCTGAAAGTGGGTCGTTAAAGGGAATTGAAAAGATACAAATGCAATTTCAGTGTTTAAATCAGTCAAATTAAAATGGTAAAAAGAGAGTAGGCAAATGCCATTTTATATAAGCATTTTTTATCTTCAACTTTATAGCCTAAATAACCATAAAGCAAAGTAGCACCATAACTCTGTTTTAGTGATTGGAACACATAATTTCACAAATTTCTTTAGTGACAGAAAATATTACAATAAAGTAATTTTACTTATCTAAACCAGAAGGCTTGTACATGTGTGAACGGTGTGGGGGTGTGTGCTGAGCTGCAATTTTTCAGCAAGAAAAGAAGGAAGACATGGAAAAACGCAGAGGAACAAGAATTGAAGTGAGGGCGTGTATAGAGCTGTATGGCACCAAGACAAGAAGAAAACACAGAGGAGAGGAAAAAAAAATGTAATTCTCGCCTTGATAGACAGTAAGGGACCAATACACTTCCCCCTCAGCATGGCTGTCAGCCCAGTCTTAGTCAATGCGATGCAAGTCATTATTGCGCAGCTTGATTGTCCATGTGATCACGGTGTCCTCGTACTGTCCACACAGATGACAAGCTTTCATAACTACATGTCTCCGATCAGTGAGAACTCTGAACACAAAGCCAGTCGTGCCATGTTATTTAGGGCAGGCACAGTTTCGTGACAGTAGAGGGAACAAAGCTGGAAAAAAATGTGTTAAATTCCTCAATGTTATCTAAGTAGATGTATTTCTAACTGGCTTCTTAGCACAAATTTATTCCAGACATGGGTAGAAACTCACCAAAACAAAAAAAACACACATACACATACACACACACATACTGCCATGGTTCTGCCATCGTAGTGAGTGACCATGTGTTGATTCCTATTGACTTCCATTGATTTTCTGTCATTTTCAACCCTTTCTATGCCCTAACCCTAAACCTAACCCTAAACCTAACCATTACCAATGCATACCTCACCCTAACCCAATTGACACCTTAACCCTAAACGTAACCATTAGCAAAATAGCATGTTAGGACTGGCAAACTGTCCTCACTTTGCAAGAACTGGTCCTGAATTTGATGGTAAAATTGCAAAAATTACCCTCATTCTGAGGGCTAGACAGGTACATACACCCCCAAACACACACCTACATACACACACAATCGTTTTGCTATAAGTATTCAGGACCATGTGTTAACTCCTATTGAGATTCCATTGATTTTTAGTCATTTTGAACTGGTTCTATGCCCTAACCCTAAAAATAACCCTAAACCTAACTATTATTAATGCACATCTAATCCAAACCTTAAGCCATTCAACACCTTACCCCTAAACCTAACCACTAGCAAAATACCTTGTGAGGACCAGAAAAATGTCCTCACTTTACAACAACCGGTCATTAATGTTATGGTGAAATAAATGTAAAAAAATGGTCCTTAATCTGATTCCTACACATTCTGATTCCCCACACACTCACAACAAATGATGAAAAAATAAAATAGGTATTAAAAGCATTGAGAAAAAACCTAAAAACCTACCATCCATCAGTATC